TTGTTCTTTGCGGTACTTTACACTCAGGAACTTCGCTAAGGCCCGTGATATAAAATATTATATTATTGCATTTTTTGCCTTCCCTCACTTGCTTTCCTACTTTATATGAATTTTATTGAATACTGTTTTTACTGAGTATTTTTTCCAGCAAATCGATTAAAATACTTATTTGATTTTGTACCTGTTGTTGTTATGTTTAGAGTAGCATGAGTTAGATGCATCCACCCCCGGGAGGTCATTTTCGAAACTCGAAGCTGGCTAGAGAAAGGAGATCTACCCACACCGATATCAAAGCTCGCAAATAGCTGTGACCGAATCTTCCATGTTGTTTGCGTGAAACCAGTTGTGGTTCTGAGTGGCATATTTATGCACCATCTTCCTGCACCTGTAATTCCACTTGTGCCAGGAGGCTCCGTCATGTCCAGGTAGCCTAATTTCTGGCAAAACGGTGAGCGTTATTTAACAGAAAATAAGGAGCTACTAACAGTTAGCAAGTACAAACAGCTTCCGGGTTTAATTTTAACCGCACTCTCGCAGAACTTACCAATATTTGATGGTGTGGATTCGACGTAATACCTTAAGCAGCTTGAACAAGTTCGGACCGCGTTGCTTACTCGAGGGCCTACCTTTTTAGCATTGAAACTGTTAGATAACACCTTGTGGCACTCATGACGATATTATCGGTCAATACTTTCTGTTGCTTCGGACTGAAGTTTGAAGGGGAACTTGCCTATTCAGCCAGAAATTTTAGCTACTCAAGAGAGAGTAGATGCAAGTTGGTTTTCAGGAACAATGTGAGTGTGTTAACCGACTCTTCCTGACCTTATGCCAATCTATCGAAATGTTTTTGCATTTTCAAAGCCGTACACCTGAGGGTAGTCATAGAAGTGTGCTTCTTTGTTCGTAAAACATACACGAAAGCGGTCAGTCTGTTGCAACGAACTCGGAAGAATTGAGAGAGAGAGGGCGCGGGTGGGAGTCAGTGTCACTAGCTCAATGCCTCGCGGACTTCGAAAAAGTTCGAAACTAGCTTACGCAGTAGATTTTTTTGCTAAAAAATTTCCCTTCGCAAGCGTAATAGATGAAGCTTTTCGAATTATTCTCGGGTTAAACTGACATTATTTCCAAGTTTAGTGTTATTCTACTAACTTCTCATAAGAAACCGTCTGACCAGCCAAATCAGACACGGTTTCTGTGCGTACTTTATTAATT